GCGGCTTCAGGCTCCGCTCGCTCGGCCCGGAGTGCCCGGCCCTCCCTCGCCTGGCCCAGTCCGAACGGCTCTGGCCCGGGACAGTGCACCAGAGTGCCGACTCCTAAGTAAGCGTCTTGGAAGCTTCTCTTTCCGTTCCATGTAGTAAACAAAACATGGAACGCACGAAGAAAACCTTTTCAAGCCGTCAGGACTGCACTGCCGGCCACCCCTCTGGGCGCTGAGCAAGGCCGGAAGCCACTCACCCTCGGTGAACCGGAGTCGGTCCCGCTCCAGCTCCCACAGCCGGATCTGGTCGGTGATGGTCGGGGGCAGCACAGGCGTCTGCGGGGAGGGCTGGCTGTAGGGACCCGGAAAAGGATCCGCACAACCCGGCCCTGAGCGGGCCCCGCACCTGCAGGCCCCTCTCCCTTCCCGCCAGCTCACTGGACTGGCAGGTACCTGTCCGTACCTGTTTGAGCATCACTGGGTGGGCCCTTGTCCTTAGGAAATGGATTATCTAGGAGAACCGGAGAGTGCAGTGAGGCCTCGAGAGCCATGGAGTGCCGCCTAGCGCCACCGGAGCAGCAGCTTTCTCTCTCGTCTCGCTCCCTGCCCAGCCCTTACCCCCGGTGCTCCCCACTAGTCCTGCGTCGCAGACACACTTGCTCTTCCCAGTTTTGTTTTTCTTTCTTTAAAGTAGTAGCAGCCACTACATGTTGAGCACCCACTGCTCAGCAGGCTCCAGCTAAGTGCTTTACCTCTAAGCCCCCGCCAAATCCTCCCAACAAACCTGTGAGGTGAGGCCGGTCACCGACCACATAAGGAAATGGAGACTCATGGGGGAGAGCAGCCAGGCCGTTTCCACAGCTAGGAGTCTTGGAGCAGAGACACAGCCAGAGCAATGCCTACTTCCTGCATGTAATTTCCCTGCAAGGGTCCACCGGTTTCACCCCGCAGCCCTGCTTTTCCTCACACAGACAACTCACCGTAACTGCTGCAACTCACCTGACCTGGCCTTCCATGCTGGGACCGCTCTGTAACCCACAGCCCAAGCGCAGCCTGCCCCCACCAAGCAGGAATACCTGCTGGGCTGTGATGCCACTGGCTATGGCCTGCTGCACGCTCTCCCGGGTCACCTGTGCCACCACCATGTTGGGGAAGCGATAGAGCATCTCGGAAAAGAGAGCGATGAGGGCGATCTGCAGCTCCGACTCTGATTTGGGTACCGGAAGAGGATGAGAAGGTGCCCGCACCCGGCCTCCCTGCAGCCCCCCTGCAGTGGGGGAGAGCTGTCACTGGGCAGAGTGAGCACAGGCTGACCACCTCTCCGGCTTCCTTCCCTCCCCCTGCCACCCCAGTCTGTGTTCCGGCACCCGTCCAGCCGCACCTGTGTAGGCGTACAGTCGGTAGTTGGTTTCCACGACAATGAAGCCTGGCTGATGCACGGTGCCCCCGGCCCCAGAGACACCTGACGAAAGGTTGATGGCCAGGCGGGTGGGGTAGTAACGCCGAGACTTCCTCTGGGGAGACAGAAGGAAAAGACAGACCCTCTCTCAGGTGTCACATCCAGTACAGCAACTTCCTCTCCCTCAGTCCTGAACTACTCAGCCCTGGCACAAGCCAGGCGTTCAGTGCTCACACCTTCCTCTGGAAAACAAGCCCAAATTCACGCAGATGTTGCAGGAAGTTCAGCAGAGAATCACTCATACCTTCCACAGAGTAATCCTGGGGAAGAGAAAGCCAAAGGGTGTCCGAACACTGTGCCACCGGCCTCCCCCGGCCCCACACACATCCCTTCTTTCCCTTCTCTCATCCGAGGCAGTTCTTACCTTCTCCGTGTGCTGCCCCCAATCTGAGTTCCCCGTCCCCCTCGGGGGCCCTCCGGCCTCCTGCTCACCTTGCCCAGTGTAGAGAAGCTGAGCTGAAAGAGGAAGGAGAGAATCTCCACCAAGTCCATGCCCCGGCTCTGGGAGAAAGAAGAGAATGGAGAAGAGGGACGGAAGAGAGGCGGGGGCCGGGTCTCCGGTGGGGCCTGAGAGAGCGGCACGCGCTGGCACGGGGCCTTGCTCCTCACCTGGGCCGTCTGCAGATACTGCAGCATGAAGTACCAGAGCTGGGCAGAGGTGTCCAGCAGCAGAAACTGGAAGCCAGCAGAGGTGATGCAGGGGGGCTCTCCAGCCTCCGTGCTAGAGACGAAGGAGGACAGCAGTGCAGATAAGCAGGGCACTTCCCCACCCATGTCCTCAGGCTGTTCCTAGGTGTTTCTGGCTCCCTTTTCAGTCACTTCCCTTCAATCCTAAATTGCCCCAAACACCTTGTTTGATTTTTGTTTTGCTGACTGTGGTGCTTGTCCATGCTAGGCAAAAGCTCTGCCCTGGTTTTGCTGACTGTGGTGCTTGTCCATGCTAGGCAAAAGCTCTGCCCTGAGCCACCCCCCAGCCCCCCCCCCGACACCCATTTATCAGGAACCCAGGGAGCTGCTGTGGCTCGGGCGTCCTCACCTCTTCATGAGTCCAGCCTGGCTGAGCAGCTGAGCCAAGTCCTGGCTGACGGCTGCACTCGGGGAGCCCACCATAAAGTGCAGGACCACCTAGGACAGAGGAGTGAAGAGACGGAGGCCTCTGAGGGCCACGAGGAGCAGCGTGGTAGACACAGGCTCACATCCTCACCTCCCATCGCTCCTCGGCGTACTTGTCAAGCGAGGGGACATCTCGGGCATGCTTGTCCGGTCCCAGCTGACTTGTGTCATCAGACCAGGCCTTCCCCCTGGGGTCAGGATGGGCCAAGGGTAAGGAGCTCTGTCTCCATTCCCCACGGCTCCTCGGCCCTTCCCACCCTTACCCCATGAGTGGGACACATTTCCTATAGTCTGCAACCACACCTGGGCCTACTTACTCCTGACAGAACTCCCAAAGTGGGGACTCAGGTTTCCGGGGAAGTCCCCCTCCCGAGGAGCTGCCACTACAGCAGTTTAATTAGCAGTTCCCCTGGCCTAGCTTAAGAAGAGCGGGAAGTAACATACCCACCCAGAAGGGCAATTCGGAGGTTCTGGCGGAAGATGGGGTTGAGGATGAGCCCCTGGAGACCACCAGGGAGCAGCTGGGTGTGCCAGATCCGGAGGCCACTCAGCAGCCCTGTACTTTCTTCCTGAGCCCTGGAAGAGAAGCAAAGAGATGAGCAGCAAAACAAGAAAGCCCATAGAGGCCCCCACTTCTGCCTTTTCTGAATTGGTGATCCTCAGAACACTGCTACAGAGTCAAGAATGTGTCTTCTTAAAACAAATGTCTTTGTAAGTAGGGGAGGTTGGAGGGGGTGAAGGGAGGGCAGGGGTATGGGGAAAAAATGAGAACCAAGAAGATCCCAATGATGAATGTAACTGTACTTTATACTTAAAATGTACCAATAAACTCAATAAGATTAAAAAAAAAAAAAAAGCGTCTTTACCACAACGCCTAGAAGAGCCTTGTTGCAGATAAGACATTGCAACTCTCCAAGAGGGAAAACACTCAGTTTACCAAACTAATTCAGATTCCTTCCCAGTTGTATTTAATTCAAGTTTTGTGGCATACCCATTAATATTTCCTGGAGGAGCTGGGAGGTAGCCCAGTGACACAGCATGTGCTCATCATGCATTACAAAGGCCCTGGGTTCAATCCCCAGCACCACCCATCAGGGGAAGAAATACACACACATACACACGTGAAATTTCCTTGAAGCATTTCAAGGAAAAGCACTTAAGAAAACCCAGCAGTTGAAAATCTGTATCTTGCTGAGGATGCAGTAGAGACTCACTTGCTGAATTCTTTCTTCACCCACAGGGCTACGGCAGCTTGAGGTAAAGGCTGCTCCAGAAATAGCATCCGCATCACCCAGTTCTTAGCCAAAGATGGGAGCTCCCTACATGGGGCAGAGGTCAAATATTAATAGCAAAAGCTACTTCATAGCTGCATCTCTGCCTCATCTACCTCGCAAACATCTCAGGTCCACATCTTCACTGTCCTGCTGCCCACAAGAGCCCAGCAGGCTGCAAAACTTTGACCCATGATAAATGATGTGGCCTCCAGGCTCCTTTACACTTCCCTCCAGTCCCTAGGAAAGACGCCCCTCACCTGAAGACAGCCAGACACGTGGCAGGGTGCCCATACAGCCGGTCCAGTATGCCAGGGCTCAGGCCCCTTAGGAATTCCTGCAGGTTCCGGCACTGTAGGTGCACTCGGTTCAGCCCACCCCTTGTAGGGGTGCTTTCCATCACCTGGGAGATGCTGCTGTTAGGTCCGTGCCAGGGTCACCCAATCTTTCTCCCTCTGACCGCAGAGCCATTGGGCCCACAATTACCCTGTCTTTTCCGGGATTTCCTCTGCCTTGTCACTCATCTCTCCTTTCTCAAAAACCTCCCCAACGTCCCCTCCCTTCCTGCTTTCTCATCCCCATTCTGCCCTAAACTCTAGTTTGTTTGTTTGTTTCTCGATTTCGAAGTGATGGAATTATTTATTGTCCTCTATTGGCAAGATCATTTCGTATTTCAAGGACTGTCTCATCTTTTCTCTCGCTTCAGTCCCGTCTTCTCTCCCACCCCTCCGGGGCAGGTCAGTTCACCAGCTCCAGCTCTGTCCTTCCGATCTTCTTCTTAGACCACTTCTGCTGGACGCGGCAATGAATTACCTCTCCCATCCACGCTTCCCCACGCTAAACACGCCTCTGAGCCCGTCCCCTCTCACTGATGCCCACACCGTCCAACCTGCCGACTTCTCCATTCTCCTCCACTCCTCGGCCGGCGACCCTCCTCACACGCCCTCCGGGGTTTCCCCACCACTTGGTGTCTATCCCCAACGCGCACCCCGGATCTCAAGCCGTCCCTTAATCGGAGTCAGTGGGTCGCTCTCGCTCCCGGAGACAGAGGATAATGAAAAGTATGAGAAAAAGATGGGGAAGCGACGAAGACTTCACAGACAAGAGCCCTGAGCGAAGAATTTACGAGGGAAGGAATGGGGATGAGAGGAGGCGCTGCACGCACCCGCCACAAAGCATACTGGGAGTTGGAGTCCTCTCCGCGCCCGCCCGGGAGCAGGCTGCGTCGTGTCTGACTACAACTTCCGAAAATCACAGCAGGGGTGCCGGGCGCAGAGAAGCTAGGTTTTCATTCATTGAGCTCCGGTCGCCAGAAGCCGGGCTGTTTGGTTCCGCCGAGCTCTCTGACTTCGCAGCTAAAGGCGAGTTAAAATCGGCTTGGGTTGCCGGCGGACCAGAGAGTGAAAGGACCCGCGGGCTTCCAGGCAGAGGAGTTAGGCTGAGAGACGGCAAACCTAGGTTCCTTGAACTCAGCTGTTCCTCCTAAAATTGGGGTAACACACATTGCAGAGCGTTTTCATGAGTTAAGGGTTAACGCGGCCCGGTGCGCCTTTCCTGGCGAGTCAGTACTCAGTAAGTCATTTATGCTTCCACGTTCCGACCCCCGTGCAGTGAGAAGACTCAAATTCAGTTTTTAAAGGAAACCAACTGTTTGCTCTGATTTGATTTATAAATTTCTCAAAGAAAGGCAAGGGAAACTTCCAATCAAGGCCGGAGCCACACATTTCTCCAAAATTCTTGTAAGGCAAACTCTGTTACTCTCACTTCACAGTCTAGGAGACTTGAGCCTGGAGAGACAGAAAGCATCCAGACTGGGATTTGAAGTAGGATTGCCAGAGGTCAAAGCAGTAAGGATGCACAAAACTTTGCTACGCTTTGTAGCTCACCCTTCTGTGTTTTGTTGTTCCCTGTTTATTTAGCAATCAATGTTTAAAATTCTTCAAGTACAGCACAAAACTGACAGCTTCAGTATGGCAACTGCTAAGTAGGTTTAAAAAGACAAATCAGAACTTGGGAAGACATGTTTCATAAAGACAAAATGCATACAGCTTTTGCAAAGCACTAAAAGAACACCACAACAGATAGGTTAAAAAAACAACCCACAAAACAAAAAACAGACACGTAATCAACAAAAAACACAAATGCCTTGAAGAGATGAAATGACTGTCAACTTTATTTGAAACTAAGGAAAAATAAGTTAGAGAAACCAAAATATCAGAAATTCAACAATGAAAGATAAGCAAAATAAATAAGTGAGAACTTGGCAGTTTTGTGTTGGCCAGGTATAGAGCATACTGTGTCGGAGGGTGATGTAGTTATTCCTTTTTAACACACCTTTTTGGGGACATTCAAATACAAACTATAGTTCTACTCCTGCAGTTTTTCAGGTACCCACAGACAGTCCAACAACATTACATAGAAAATTCTGAAAATAAATTAAAATGTAAATAACATTATAGTATATTGTTATAGTTGTTCCTTATTACTAGTTGTTGTTAATTTCTTACTCTGCCTAATTTTTAAAAATAAACTCACAAATATGTATGTATAGAAAAAACATACATACATACACATATGAGATTGCTATACTTACAAAAAATCTTAAGGTGATTCTCCTCTTACCTAGCAACTCCACCTCTGAGAATGTATCGTACTAGAATTCTTACACATAGGTACAGAATTAGACATGCAAAGATGTTTACTGAAGTATTTTTGTTGTTGTTAATTGTAACATCCCGAATGTGTAACACTGGGGGTTCCTTAGATAAAATGGTCATTGTAACAATGTAGAATACCGGGGAGTCCTGAGAGAGGAAGTCCCTGTATGCCTACTTGAGCTATCTGTGACTGATCAATAGGGAGAAAAGAGCAAAGTACAAAATGGCATACAGAGTTGAGGCATCTTTGTAAGAAACTTTTTATTTTGTTTTTTGAGAAGGGTCTCCCTATGTAGTGCAGGTTGGCCTTGAACTCATGGCGATACTCCTGCCACAATGTCCAGGGTGCTGGAATTACAGTTACTGGCGTGTGCCACCACGCCTGACTTTGTAAGAAACTTCGGTGTGTGTATGTAAACCTGAAAGAGGCCATATGCTTCATTTTGAAGGAAGCGGGCAAGGTGGAGCTAGGCAGATCACACCATGGCTCCCTATACTCTACAACAGACGGCAAACCTCTAGGGACGGAGTACCCAAATTGCAACCCAAAACCCACTTATCTCAAAATGCAACACAGTAGTTAAACCTGAGTACTGACCAACCGCGTGAAAGCGCCCGCGACTGGTCGTGACGTCATCACCGGGCGCCGCCCCCCTTTCCGAGCCTGCGCGTGGCCCCTGTGAGCGCGATTGCTGATGCGCTGCTGGGGCGACTTGGCTAGCGTAGGGACGGGGCTCTGCCGGCTGTGGCACAAGGGTCATAGGTTCACCACCTATGCTCCAAAGGCTGTGCTGTGCAGTGCGGTAGCCACTAGCCTTTTGCTGGCTATTTAAATTTAAATGAACTGAAGTCTGCTTCCTAGTCTGTTTATCCCTATTTCAAATGCTCAACGGAGGAGGCTAGTGGCTACCTGCTGAGCGGCAGAGATACAGAGCATTTCCATTGTCGCAGAGATCTCTTGGGGAGGCCCGTTCAGCAGGCCACAGTCGATGACAGAGGCTGAGCAGGGCTGAGCCTCTGCGGAAGGGGAGTTCCTGAAACTGGCCTGAGCCATCCAGGCGAAGGACCCAAACTGAAAAAAGCTCCCCAGGCCTCCTTTGCGGCTGCAGCCCAGCTCCAGAGTCGTGCATTCGCGCATTCGCTGCAAGACCTCTACGCTGGACAACATTGGTGGCAGTAATGGCAAAAGGAGAAGGAAGGAAGGAAGTGGGGCAGAAGGAAGTAGATTTGACCAAAACCCCAAGAAATCCACTCACACCTGTGAAAAACTCAACCTTTATTGTTACCTGCCTACCGCAGGGGATTAAAATTGCCTCAAGCTAGGTCCATATATTAGTGTAAAAATCTGTGTCTCTCCCCCCAAAAATGTACAAACCCCAAGTGATTATAGAAAAACCAATGTGGCAACTACGATAGAGATGTCCAACCCCCGGGCCACAGGCCATTGCTCCCTCTGTCCTATCCCAGTATGTACTCCACAGAAGCGTACAGGCTTAGGGAAGTGCTAGCTACAGCATGGCAGGCGGGAAGTGGGTATGTGGGAGGATCGGAGGACAGGGCAGGGATCAGCCCCAGGTCCAGTGTGTCCAATTCCAGGGATAAGCACCAGGGAGCATCTTCTGTCCCTTTGTGTCCTCACCCCCCCCAATTCCCAGCCAGCGGGGTCCAGTGTATGACAGAAAGAGGGAGGCTGGGGCAGAGCCACCTCCCCAGGAACCAGTGTTGTCCAGTAGGCCCAGGAGCTCCTGTGGGCCACATCCAGTGTCTGCCCTGCATGAGCCCCCTTCCCCAAGGATGGCTGGCAGAAGTCAGAGGACCCATCCACAGGGCCAGCTGGGTGGGCAGTGGGTCTTTGAGGGAGGAGACGAGAGCTTGTGTCCAGGGTGGGCAGGCCTGCCCCGTGGTCTCACTGCCTCTCAGGGGCCAGCAGTCGGGAGGGGCAGGGAGGCGCAGTCCTCATTGGTCGCTGGCTTCCCCCAGGTCGCCTCTGAGAGGAGCAGCTGGGCGTCGTCACACTGTGTTGAGCGCATCCTCTGCCAGGAACCGGTGCAGCTGGGCAAAGGGCGGTCGCCGCTCGGGCTCCCGGCTCCAGCACCGCAGCATCAGTTCATACAGGCCCTGGGGGCAGGCGGGCGGCCGGGACAGGTACACCTGCACGTGCAGCATGGTGACAGCAGGGAACAGACTCCTTTAGCCTCCAAGATGACGTGCCCGCCCTCCCGGCCCGGCAGCAGATCCAGCTCCCCTCCCTCTGCTCTGACCTGGCGACCCTGGTCCCGGAAGAACTCCCCGGCGTTCTCGATGACTTGCTCATCTGTGAGCTGTCCAAAGGGCTGGGCCCTGCAGAGCATCAGCACCTCCCACAGTGTCACCCCAAACGCCCACACGTCGCTGGCCGTTGTGAACTTGCCCTGGCACGCGGAGAGAGCAGCAAAGGCCGAGAAGACCTCAGGCAGCGAAGCTGTGGCAAAGCCCGAGCTGCCCGGCCTGGCCCTCCCCACCTCGCTCCCTCCTGAGCCGGCCTTCTCTCCCTGCGGTCCTCCCTCACCTGCCCTCCCCTTTGCGGTCCTGGCCCGGCGTCTTTCCCGAAGCCCTTCCACCCTCTGCCTCCCTGACCACCCCGTCACACCCCACGCCCTCACTCTGCAGCCAAGTCACGGGGTCTCTCGGTTATAGCCAGGAGACTGCGGCCCAGCCACTGCCAGCCTCAAGGGCCCTCACCATCAGGATGCACTCCCAGGCCATCCAGCGGATGGGCAGCACCGCCCGGCCCTGCACGCGGTAGTAGTCCCCAGCATAGAGGTTCCGGCTCATTCCAAAGTCGGCGATTTTGATGGTGAAATTCTCTCCAACCAAGCAGTTCCGTGTGGCCAGATCCCGGTGCACAAAGTTGAGTGTGGCGAGATAGCGCATGCCCGAGGCAATCTGGGCAGCCACGTGCAGTAGCATCGGGTAGCTGAGGAAGGGGTCCACCAACAGGGTCACTGGGGGTCCCCAGGCTCCCCCACTTCACACCATGCTGCACCCACCCTGGCCGGCCACTCTTGCTCCAGTCAGAGAGGAGGGCAGTTCCCGCTCCGTCCCTCTGTCCGGCCAGCCCAGGCCAGCTCCTGTTTCCTCTGGCTGCACAGCCGGGCTCAGGGATTCACCATGGGCTCTGCCCTTCTCCGCCCCTGGTTACCATGGCTACCCTCCAGTCCCTTCCTGTGGCCTCTGCTTCTGCCCTCTGCTCCTCTCCCCCCACGTGGGATGCACTGGGCATTCAGGTACCTGATCGTGGGCCCCTGCGCAGCCTCCTCATCCCTGGGGGCCCCTCCAGCCACCGCCTTGTCGTCCAGCTGGTGGGCACCGAGGAACTGGTTCAGGTCGCCATTCTCCATGTAGTCAGTGATCATGCAGAGGGGGTCGTCCTGCACACACACGCCCAGGAGCCGGATGATGTTTGGGTCCTTGAGTCGTGACATGATCTTTACCTCCTTCAGGAAGTCATTCCTGGAGCAGCAGGGAGAGTGGGGCGCGGCTGCACCTTCTGCTGTGCTCAGGCGCACAGAACGCCCGGCCCTCCCTGCTTCCAGATACCACGTCCAGCCTCACCTGGCGTTCTTGGTGGCATCAGGCCGAAGGATCTTGACAGCTACCAGCAAGGGTTGTCCCTTGCGCACGCTGACTGGGAAGTCCAGACTGGCCAGATCTTGAGGGTTCTCTACCTCACACAGGTGTACCTGGAGAAGGGCACACGGTCCGATGGAGTGGGTGACGCCACACCAACAAGACTGACCAAGGGAGTGCGCGGCAGAGGCCGATGGCTGGGCGGGCGTCCTCCTTACCTCCCCAAACTGGCCCTCGCCAAGCTTCTCCCTGAAGCGGAGCCGTGACCGAGGGAAATCCACTCTTGGGGGCCCGTCCCCAACTGCCCCTGGGGGCAGTGCAGGCACAGCGTAGGTGTTGCCCCCGGTGACACCCTGCAGGGTGACGATGTCAGCCTCGGCATAATGCGGGACGCTGCTGTGGGGAGGTGGGGGCAGGAGTGGGGCGCCCGGCTTCTCAGGCTCCATGTAGTCCCCGCTGCAGGCTGGAGGGCAAGGGAGAAAAGACAGATGGGTGACAGGCGTCAGGCACAGCCTGAGGGCCACGCTCTACACCCCGCTGCTCGGCAGGCAGAGACCAGGCCTCTCCCCTCATTTCCCCGCTGCCAAAGCCAACCAGAGAAGCATGGGCCAGAGAGGAGAGTCACCGTCCTGGAGAAAGCTTCAAGGCAGTGGAAATGGCTGGGCAAAAGCAGCTGTAAAGTCGTACCCTCTGAGCCCTCTCAGCACAGCCCCAGAGGCCCCCAGATGCCTCTCAGCTGGAGGGGACAGGAAGAGGGTGGCTCAGCCAGCAGCCTCTTCCACACCCGAACCCTCGGCCTGCTCCCCGCTAGCACCCTCCTTCCCTGCTCGGTTCTCCCAGGGCCTTCAGCCTGGTCCCTCCTTGCCCTGTCACCGACCCCAGCCCCACACACCAAGCTCAAAGACAGGAGAGACAGAGCACACGGGGTCGGGGGGCAATGAGTCCTCACAGCCCCCACAACAAGTTGTCCACAGACAGGAGGGAGGTAGAGCCGGTCCCCGCTGGCCCTGGGGAAGGGGCCACAGTGAGAAGGCGACACGAAGGGGGAGGAGCAGACAGGAGGGCAGGCGGGCGGGAGGGAGCCTTCACCTCTGGGACTGTGGAGAGGACACGGGGAGAGGGCGAGCGCCCGGGGTGAGGCCCTCCTCCTCGGAGCGCTAGAGAGAGGGGAGAACAGAGGAGGCATTACTAGGGAGCGGCACCGCACCGCAGTTCCTCTGGCTCTGGAGAGCTACAGAGCTGGGTGGGAGAGGAGGAGGTGCAGAGCTGAGGCCATAGCCTTCTACTGGCGCCAGGCTCAAGGGGAGGCTGCAGAGGGCGCGAGAAGCAGCAGAGTGAACTAAGGGCACTAAGCGTCCTGCCCCAGCTTAGGAGAGCAGAAGAGGCTGCAGTGGGAGAGGAGAGCGCGATGTGAGGGCTTCTCCATGCCCCAGCAGCATGGGGGCTGGCGGAGTGGGCAGAGGGGCTTACCCTGGGTGTTGGTGGGTTTGGCCCAGGCGGGTGTGGGGGGGCCCGGGCCTCGAGGGGGACGGGCGTAAGTGGCCAGAAGGAGGCGGTAGGCCGGATTGGAGAGCAGCAGCGCTGTCGGGAGAAGGAGGGGGGAGACACGGGGAAGGGATGAGACTCAAGGCTAGACAGACAGGGAGACCTAGCACAGGGCAGGCCAGGGCCGGCGGGAATCATGTGCTGAGACAGGAAGAGCTGGAAGGGCCAGGGAAAGGAGGATGGGCAGATGGACTAACGGGTGATGGATGGACGATGGATGTGACTATCACTGGATGGATGGACGGATGGACGGGTGGATGATGGATGGACGGATGGATGGACAGATGGATAGAAGGATGCATGGACACTGATGGATGGATGGTTGGATGGATGGATGGACAGATGGATAGAAGGATGGACTGATGGATGGATGGTTGGACGGATGGATGGATGATGGATGGATGAGGAACACATGGATGTGAGAATAGAGACGGATGGCTGGGTGCACAAAAGAATGGATGGAAGGAACAAACACGTGAGTCAGTTGAAGGAGACACAGTAAGAGGGGACAACGGAGGATGGTTGGATGGATGGATGGACAGATGGATAGAAGGATGGACTGATGGATGGATGGTTGGACGGATGGATGGATGATGGATGGATGAGGAACACATGGATGTGAGAATAGAGACGGATGGCTGGGTGCACAAAAGAATGGATGGAAGGAACAAACACGTGAGTCAGTTGAAGGAGACACAGTAAGAGGGGACAACGGAGGAGGTGTAGAAATATACCATGACACCAGAGACAGGATGAGACCCCTGGGGATTGTTGGTGACAGATGGGAAATCCTTGAGGACAAGAGCATGTTAGGGACATAAAGTGATAGAGTGACTAGGTACACGGAAATAAGAAAATGAGTTGAAACTGGTGAAGACAGGGGAAAAAAAGACTAGGGAAGGAGAGGGAGAGGGATGCAATGAGGAAACTGGCAGAGGACAACAGTGGGGCTAGAGCCATCTGGGCTTACCAGAGCCATTGGGGACGCAGGGTGCAGAGTGGGGCGGGTTCCCCCGCGGCCGGGGCTCCTGATAAGGAGGTGGCTCCCGGGGTCCCGGGCGGTTGTTGATGAGGATGGTGTCCCCAGGGACAGAGAGATGCACTGTCAGCTCCTCCTCCAGCACCCGGCGCTCAGCCTTGTGGGGAAGGGGCGGTGTTAGAGCTTCCCACGCTCTGCAAGTCTTCTAGCTACCCTGTCAGGCTCACAGCGGTCCCATGGCTACAGATCCCGTGTGCTCCTCCTCATAGGTAAAGAACTGAACTTGGCAGGTAAGTGACACCCCGACATCCTGCGACGGAATCCCAGCTCCTGTCTGACCACCCGTGCTTATCAGCCTTACTTTGGTCACCGCAGGGAAGACACAGGCTTCCATTTGCCCCTCTCGCCCGGTCTCCTCCTTTCCCCACCTGCTTCTGCCCCAGCAAGCTGACCAACTCGAGCAGCAGCCACAGCTGGGACAGTGGTGGCCAGAGGAGGCCCAGATAAGTGTGGGGTGCAGGCAGGGCACTCAGGAGGTGCGGTCGCAAAAGACAGTGTTTGTATTTCTTAAAATGTATCGTAGTGAAAGACACCCTGCCATTAGTCCCTCTCAGAATCCTCGCCCTCACTCAAACACACTCATCCCAGCGTCCTTGTCGCTTTCTGAGACAGTGCTGAAGTCCTCTTTCTGCGTGTGTCCAGTTCACTGCCGTGGCTTCCTCGATGTACAAAACAACTCAAAACGTTTCGACTGAGGAGGAGCCACAAGTGCGGGTCTAGAATCGGGTGGAGGAGGAGGACCCTCCGCACTGTTTCCTGAGCCTGCCTTTCCACTAGATGGCGCTCGCAGCACCGTGAGGCGCTTCATTGGTCCAACCTCGGAAAGATGCGCTGGAAAGAGGACTTGCAGAGCTGCTTCAGAAAGCAGCAAGAGATGAGGTGTTCAGAGCCAGGCGGAATATTTTGAGGGGGATTCATGGCGATGTGTCTTTTACCGTGATACATTTTAAAATTTTTGACATTCACCATACTTTTCAATCATCCCTGAATTCTCCCCACCCTTCCGGAGGGCTGGGCTCCCGCAGGCTGCGCCCCAGCGCCCAGGGCATCCGCTCCAGACCAGGCCTCCTGCGCCCGGTGATTGCAGTGTCCCCCGCCG